CATGCCCATGCCCATGCCATGCCCATGCCATGCCATGCCCATGCCCATGCGCATGCCATGCGCCATGCCCATGCCCATGCCCATGCCCATGCCCATGCCCATGCCCATGCCCATGCCCCATGTGCGTGCCCATGCCCAGGCCCATGCCCAAGCCCATGCCCATGCCCATGCCATGCCCATGCCCATGCCCATGCCCATGCCCATGCCCATGCCCATGCCCATGCCCATCCCCATGCCCATGCCCATGCCCATGCCCATGCCCATGCCCATGCCCATGCCCATCCCATACCCATGCCCCATGCCCATGCCCCATGCCCATGCCCATGCCCCATGCCCCATGCCCATGCCCATGCCCATGGCCCATGCCCATGCCCCATTGCCCATGCCCATGCCCCATGGCCCATGCCCAATGCCCCATGCCCATGCCCATTGCCCCATGCCCCCCATGGCCCCATGCCCATGCCCCCATGGCCCATGCCCATGCGCCCATGCCCATGGCCCATGCCCCATGCCCATGCCCATGCCATGCATGCCCATGCCCATCCCATGCCCCATTGCCCCATGCCCATGCCCATGCCCCATCCCCCATGCCCCATGCCCATGCCCATGCCCATGCCCATGCCCATACCCATGCCCATGCCCATGGCCCATGCCCATGCCCATGCCCATGCCCATGCCCATGCCCATGCCCCATGGCCCATGCCCATGCCCAGCCATGCCCATGCCCCATGGCCCATGCCCCATGCCCATGCCCCATATGCCATGCCCATGCCCATGCCCATGCCCATGCCCATGCCCATGCCCATGCGCCCATACCGCATGAGCCCATAGCCCCATACCCCATGCCCATGCCCATAATGCCCATAGCCCATGGCCCATGTGCATGGCCCATTGCCCATGCCCATGCCCCATGCCCATACCCCATGCCCATGCCCATGCCCCATGCCCAATGCCCATCCATGCCCATATCCCATGCCCATGACCCATGCCCATACCCATACCCATGCCCATGCCCCATGCCCATGCCCCATGCCCATGCCCATGCCCCCATGCCCCATGCCCATCCCATCCCATACCCATGCCGCCATAGCCCATGCCCATGCCCATACCCATGCCCATGCCCATATGCCCATACCCATGCCCATACCCATACCCATACCCATACCCATCCCATGCCCATACCCATGCCCATGCCCATGCCCATGCCCATGCCATACCCATACCCATACCCATATGCCCATCCCATCCCATGCCCATGATACCCATGCCCATGCCCATACCCATACCCATAACCCCATACCCATGCCCATGCCCATACCCATACCCATACCCATGCCCATGCCCATGCCCATGCCCATGCCCATGCCCATGCCCATGCCCATGCCCATGCCCATGCCCATGCCCATGCCCATCCCCATGCCCATGCCCATGCCCATGCCCATGCCCCATGCCCATGCCCATGCCCATGCCCATGCCCATGCCCCATGCCCATGCCATCCCCATGCCCATGCCCGTGCCATGCCCATGTGCCCCCATGCCCATACCCATGCCCATGCCCATGCCCATACCCATACCCATGCCCATGCCCATGCCCATGCCCATGCCCATGCCCATGCCCATGCCCATGCCCATGCCCATGCCCATGCCCATGCCCATGCCATGCCCATGCCCATGCCCATGCCCATGCCCATGCACATGCCCATGCCCGTGCCCATGCCCATGCCCATGTGCGTGCCCATGCCCAGGCCCATGCCCAAGCCCATGCCCAGCCATGCCCATGCCCATCCATGCCCATGCCCATGCCCATCCCATGCCCATGCCCATGCCCATGCCCATGCCCATGCCCATTGCCCATGCCCATGCCCATGCCCATGCCCATGCCCAGCCCATGCCCATGCCCATGCCCATGCCCATGCCATGAGCCCATGCCCATGCCCATGCCCATGCCCATCCATGCCATGCCCATGCCCATGCCCATTGCCCATGCCCATGCCCATGCCCATGCCCTGCCCATGCCCATTGCCCATTTGCATGCCCATGCCCATTGCCCATGCCCATGCCCATCCCCATGCCATGCCCATGCCCCATGCCCATGCCCATGCCCATGCCCATGCCCCATGCCCATGCCCATGCCCATGCCCATGCCCATGCCCATGCCATGCCCATGCCCATGCCCATGCCATGCCCATGCCCATGCCCATGCCCATGCCCATGCCCATGCCCATGCCCATGCCCATGCCCATGCCCATGCCCATGCCCATGCCCCATGCCCCATGCCCATGCCCATGCCCATGCCCATGCCCATGCCCATGCCCATGCCCATGCCCATGCCCATGCCCATGCCCATGCCCATGCCCATGCCCATGCCCATGCCCATGCCCATGCCCATGCCCATGCCCATGCCCATGCCCATGCCCATGCCCATGCCCATGCCCATGCCCATGCCCATGCCCATGCCCATGCCCATGCCCATGCCCATGCCCATCCCATACCATCATGGCCCATGCCCATGCCCATTGCCCATGCCCATGCCATGCCCATGCCCATGCCCCATGCCCATGCCCATGCCCATGCCCATGCCCATGCCCATGCCCTGCCCATGCCCAGGGCCCAGCCCATGCCCATGCCCATGCCCATGCCCATGCCCATGCCCATGCCCATGCCCATGCCCATGCCCATGCCCATGCCCATGCCCATGCCCATGCCCATGCCCATGCCCATGCCCATGCCCATGCCCATGCCCATGCCCATGCCCATGCCCATGCCCATGCCCATGCCCATGCCCATGCCCATGCCCATGCCCATGCCCATGCCCATGCCATGCCCATGCCCGTGCCCATGCCCATGCCCATGTGCGTGCCCATGCCCAGGCCCATGCCCAAGCCCATGCCCATGCCATTGCCCATGCCCATGGCACCTAAAAAATAGACTGCCCATGCCCATGCGCCTGCCCGCGCCCATGTTTTGCATTCCATTCACTCCAAAATCACCAGGGCTCAATCTTCCTGCATTCTATTTTTGAGGCGCCTCAAAAATTGACACCAGGGCTCAATCTTCCTGCATTTATCTCTTTTCCCCTTATCGCATCGCCCCATTGTCTCGGTTGCATGCAGTTTCGACCTCTCAAGCAGCAGCCCCCCGTTCTAACCCATCCAAACACCTGGTGGGAACACACCCACTCCTCTTCCTCCTCCTCCTCCTCCTCCTCTCTACCCTCCTGGTTCCTGCCCTCGTCCCTCCTCGCCTTCCTATGGCAATCCTCCTATGCCTGTAAGCACACTCTGGAGCTGCTCTTAGGGGAGCCGCTAGGGGAGGCTCTCTCATCCCCACTATTGTCTGCTTTTATAACGCTCATTGTTATCTACACTGTTGGCACGTGCCTGGGTGGTTTGTCCACTCCAGCTGCGAGAGCAAATGGGGTTCTGGAGGAGGTAGAGGAGGAGGAGGAGGAGGAGGAAGGGGAGGAGGAGGAGGAAGAGGAGGAGGAAGGAGAGGAAGACGGAGAGGAAGGGAGAGAGGGATGGGTGGGAGAGCAGCAGAGGATGCAACGGGTGAAGAAGAGAGAGGAGGAGAGATCAGCACAGGAATCAGTGAAGGCGTGGCAAAGAAAACGACTGAGCATGTGGGAGCACCCCTCTGAGCAACCCCCATCTGTCTATCCTCCGCTTTCCACAGTCACCACCAGCACCAGCAGCACCAGCAGCAGGGATGCAGCAAGGAGTGTCGGCAGGAGCAGTGGCGGCAGCAGCAGAGGGAGGAGAAAAGAGCAGCCAGGCAGGGTTGAGGGCAGAGTGGTGGAGCTCTCTTCGCCCACGGATTGCTGGTGGCTGCCGGCTGAAAGGCGAACCGGCAGCAGCAGCAGCAGCATGTCATATAGCAGTGGTAACATGGCGCCATATGCTGTGGTGTTGGTGCTACGAGATTGCGCGCCGTCTGAGAAAGACGCAGCTCTGACTAACTACAAAGAGGTTTGGCTGTCCCTCTTTACCCGGTCTTCTGTCATTTTTCCTCTCTTTCTTTCCTTGTCCTCTTGGACTGGAAGTGAGAAGTCTGAGTTCAATGTCTGAGGTCAATGTCTGAGTTCAATGTCTGAGTTCAATGTCTGAGTTCAATGTCTGAGTTCAATGTCTGAGTTCAATGTCTGAGTTCAATGTCTGAGTTCAATGTCTGAGTTCAATGTCTGAGTTCAATGTCTGAGTTCAATGTCTGAGTTCAATGTCTGAGTTCAATGTCTGAGTTCAATGTCTGAGTTCAATGTCTGAGTTCAATGTCTGAGTTCAATGTCTGAGGTCAATGTCTGAGGTCAATGTCTGAGGTCAATGTCTGAGTTCAATGTCTGAGTTCAATGTCTGAGTTCAATGTCTGAGTTCAATGTCTGAGGTCAATGTCTGAGGTCAATGTCTGAGGTCAATGTCTGAGGTCAATGTCTGAGGTCAATGTCTGAGTTCAATGTCTGAGTTCAATGTCTGAGTTCAATGTCTGAGTTCAATGTCTGAGTTCAATGTCTGAGTTCAATGTCTGAGTTCAATGTCTGAGTTCAATGTCTGAGTTCAATGTCTGAGTTCAATGTCTGAGTTCAATGTCTGAGTTCAATGTCTGAGTTCAATGTCTGAGTTCAATGTCTGAGTTCAATGTCTGAGGTCAATGTCTGAGGTCAATGTCTGAGGTCAATGTCTGAGGTCAATGTCTGAGGTCAATGTCTGAGTTCGATGTCTGAGTTCAATGTCTGAGGTCAATGTCTGAGTTCAATGTCTGAGTTCAATGTCTGAGTTCAATGTCTGAGTTCAATGTCTGAGTTCAATGTCTGAGTTCAATGTCTGAGTTCAATGTCTGAGTTCAATGTCTGAGTTCAATGTCTGAGTTCAATGTCTGAGTTCAATGTCTGAGGTCAATGTCTGAGGTCAATGTCTGAGGTCAATGTCTGAGTTCAATGTCTGAGTTCAATGTCTGAGTTCAATGTCTGAGGTCAATGTCTGAGGTCAATGTCTGAGGTCAATGTCTGAGGTCAATGTCTGAGGTCAATGTCTGAGGTCAATGTCTGAGTTCAATGTCTGAGTTCAATGTCTGAGTTCAATGTCTGAGTTCAATGTCTGAGTTCAATGTCTGAGTTCAATGTTTGAGTTCAATGTCTGAGTTCAATGTCTGAGGTCAATGTCTGAGTTCAATGTCTGAGTTCAATGTCTGAGTTCAATGTCTGAGTTCAATGTCTGAGTTCAATGTCTGAGTTCAATGTCTGAGTTCAATGTTTGAGTTCAATGTCTGAGTTCAATGTCTGAGGTCAATGTCTGAGGTCAATGTCTGAGGTCAATGTCTGAAGTCCTATTGTACACCATGTTTTTGAGGCGCTTCAAAATTTGTCCACTATGAGGGGAAGTGGGAAGGCTGAAGTCGTGCAGTGCACCATGTTTGGACAAGATGGGGACACGTCTGACTTCTGAGTCGACTCAAAAGTCATCTGAAGTGGCAAAGCAAACGGCTCTCGCCTCGAAGACAGCTGTGCTGTTGAGGTTGCAGGGTCGTTGATCGAGAATTCTCAAAAGCACCCTGGAACGTCGTTGGTTGATCCTCCTCATTATGCATCCATGCAGTCTGGTCGTAGAGGGGGATATGTTGGGACTACGACGTGTGTTACAGGATAGGCCAGAAAATTTTGTTGTTTTCAAACTTGGTTTGAGAAACAACAGAGCTACTTGCGTTCAACCATGTAGTTGGGAGAGATGTGTCGCAGGTACGCGTGCAGTTATCTTAGTTTGTGCACATGTACTTGGGATGCATCCTCCTCCCAAGCTACATGGTTGAGATGAGAGGGAATGGCTATATTGTTCCTCAGTCAATGGCCATGAAAAAAATCCGCGTTAACTTCCAAACTCGTCTATCTCCGCTTCTGTTTGAACACGTTGCTCTTGATTGCCCCCACCCCATGTCTGTCATTGCAGGTAGCATCGTCCTTCGTCAACGAATCGAGACTCATCTTCTCCTACGTGAGTTCCTCTTTCGGCCTTGGCTGCCCCAACTTCGTCTCATCCCCACCCGTCCCCCATCGTTCTTTCCCGTATGTTGCCGTGTGTCACAAACCTGGAATGTTTCACGGTAGATAAGCCCATGCAAGCTTTTCTTCCACCCCACACTGTTGTCATCCATCCATTCCGGTTCAGTTGACCGTTCCTTGCGTGTCCCGCCCGACCTGTGTGCCCCTCCCTCCCATCCCGTGCGCCCCCCCCATCCCGTGCGCCCCCCCCATCCCGTGCGCCCCCCCCCATCCCGTGTGCCCCCCCCATCCCGTGCGCCCCCCCCATCCCGTGCGCCCCCCCCATCCCGTGCGCCCCTCCCATCCCATGCGCCCCTCCCATCCCGTGCGCCCCTTCCGGCCCATTCTTCCGTCCTACATCCCTCTCACCCCGCTCTCAGGTTGACTGCTCTAAACACCACGCCTGGCTCGCATTGCTCTCGCTTTTCTCTCCCCTGCGAAAGGGAGGAACAATAAGTGAGGGTGCGGAGTTGAGCCATGGGGACGGGTGTCGCATCAGAGAAGGGAGTGGGAAGGAGAGAGAGGAGGGGCAGGAGGAAAGCGAAGGGTGGGTGGAGGTGGAGAGTGAAGGGATGGCAAGAAATAGGAGTGAAGGGAGCAAAGATAGAAGATCCGGGCTTGGTGTTGGAACAGCAGCAGTAATAGCATGGCACCCGCATATGACCAAAGCTCAGGTATGGGGCATTCCATTATACTATCTATCCCCGTTTTTCTCACTGTATTGTCGTGTGCCGTGGTTCTCATTTAGGAGCCCTTTCTCTTTGTTTACCTGAAGCAGTGTATAGGGGACATACAGAGCGGCACAGTGGATGTGCTTGTAACAAGAGTGGAGCGGCTTTTAGACGGCTCGTCTGGCCCATGGGTGCAAGCGACATGGCCTGCTTTGACATGACTCCATGAGTCATGACCCTTTCTAAGCGATTCACTTGCTCACGGTCAAAGGTGGTGCTCTTGCTTGTTTGTACATATTCACCTCACATGTGAGTGTGGCATGTGAGTTGTACCATCGTGAATCATGATTCACTACACCCTAGACTTGCAGCAATGGTGCTGTTGCGTATTTGTTTGTTGGTAATTGAATCTCTGGCCCTCTGTGGCAAATGTGCTAGTCATCTATAGGTAGTGCAGGCTAAAGGCAGTGCAGCGCAGATTCTCCAGTAAGATACGATAACTACAGCACCTAGCACAGTTTGGAGCAATGCCTGATGTGAATATTAGCCCACACTGTCAAATGTAACTTAGGTTGTTACTGTAGACTATACTGGATTGTGCCTTTGAGGGTACGATACCCTAGTCTATATATCCTTGTACACACACATTCTAGTTTCAATCATTTTCTGGTGGCTCGCACCTCCATGATCCATGCCGGTGCACCCCATTTTCTGTGGCCGTTCGCCGTTCGCTACGCCGCTCACTAGCTTAACCTGTGGCCGCACCCCCAGCAGCCTCAGGTTTCGCCGACCCTCCTTTGGTCTGGGTCACCTGGTGACGCGTCTGCGTTCCACGTCTGGGGCTGTCTTGCTCACGTTCGTACCTCTGGCACGGACAAGCTCACTGCCCCCACCCTTCCCTGTGTCTTCCTCAGTTTCCCCCTTTACGAGTCTGACTGGCACTTCTACTACCCGCTGACTCACAGGATCTTTCACTCCCGTGACGTCACCTTTGACGAGTCCGTCTCCTTCTTCCGCCGCTTCCCCTACCGAGGTCCCCCGGTTACCCCCCGCCTGTTCTTGGTCACCCCTTCCCCGGTCGTCGCCGCCCCTCCTCCTCCCCCTCCCCGTCCTGCCCCCTCTGGTGTGTCCCACGTCACACCACTTACGTCGGTTGTACCGGTTGAGGAGTCTACTGACTCTGGTAGTCCTGCGGCGCAGTCCTCGCCGCCTGCCCCTTCTCAGGTGTCCCCTCCTCCGCAGCCTACGCAGCCGCAGTCGCCACCGCTGTCGCAGCCGTCGTCACCGCCGCCGCAGCCGTTGTTGCGACCGCCGCCGCCGCAGCCGTCGCCGCAGCAGTTGGTTGCCTCTGGGGGTGCTGGAGTTGGGGTGGGTACTAGTCCTGGGACTCCTGTCGTGGCTTGTCCCGGCGGGCCTGGGGGTAGTACCGGTGCTCGAGGGGTTCTGAGCTCTGGGGGTGTTTCTTCTGCGGGTGCTGGTGTGGAGTGTTCTAGAGGTAGCCGCCCGGCAGATTGCGGTCTCGGTGTCGGCGTCACACCGCCGTCACAGAAGTCCCCGCCGGCGTCCGCTCTTCACCTGCTCGGCTTTCCGTCCCCTGACCCCAGGCCCATGCCTCCTCCTCCTCTTGTCTCCGGCCCTGTGTTCCCTCCTCCGGACGCGTCTCCGGCCCGTTTCCCCCCTCGTTCCCCTCCTGTGTCCCCTCCTCTGTCTCCTGACCAGACTCCTCCGTCTCACGTCTGGTCTCGCCGTCCCTCCCGTGCTCAACCTGTCTCCCCTATCTCGCGCTCCCACCCTATGTTGCTTCGTTCCCACGCGTCTCGTCCTCCCCTCCTACCGTCGCCTCCTCCGTCCTCCCTTGTCGTTGCTCCCCCCCCCCTATCTGACTACCTGCGTGCCGCTCGTCCTCTTGTTCCTCGGGTCCTTGCCTCTCTCGTTACCGACCCGTCTGTTCCGGTTTCGAGCCTTGACGCCCTTGTCGCTACGGTCGCTGACTTCGCCTCTACCCGCCGCCTTGACTACGCCACCGCTCCGGTCTCTGACCCTGCCAGTCCTCCGTCTGTCGGGGGTGCTCCTGCCCTTGGTAGTGACGTCCTGGAGGACCGCCAGTACGAGCTTGCATTCCTGTCCGAGGCTGCTCCCCATCTCTGTTCCATGCTTCTAGTCCCTGAGGGTGACCCCGACGCTTTCGACATCCCGACCCCTCGCACTTACGCTGAGGCGGTCTCGGGACCCTGGGCCTCTCAGTGGATAGCTGCCATGGAGCAGGAGATGGCATCTTGGAGATCCACCGGCACCTTCGTCGATGCAGTTCCCCCACCTGGGGTGACATAGTTGATGGCCGCTGGCTCTTCAAGGTGAAGCGCCCTGATGGAGAGCCGCCTATGTTCAAGGCGCGCTACGTGGCTTGAGGTTTCAGTCAGCGTGAGGGGGTGGACTTCTTCCAGACCTTCGCTCCGACCCCGAAGATGACTACTCTTCGGGTGCTACTACACGTAGCAGCGCAGCGTGACTACGAGCTTCACTCCCTCGACTTCTTCAAGGTAGTCTACACGAGCAGGTATACCTGCGTCGCCCTCAGGGCTTCACTGGTACCTTCCCTCCTGGGACCCAATGGCTCCTCCGGCGCCCCGTCTACGGCCTGCGGCAGGCTCCCCGTGAGTGGCACGACACGCTGCGTGCTACGCTTGCTGACCTGCAGTTCTTTCCATCCTCTGCAGACCCCTCGCTCTTCGTTCGTGCTGGTCAGACTCCGTTCTACATCCTTGTTTACGTAGACGAGCTGGTCTTCGCCACGGCAGAGAGGGACGCACTGGCCTCCGTGAAGGCAGAGCTGCTGAAGAGACACACTTGCACTGACCTTGGAGAGCTGCGCCGTTACCTTGGATTGCAGATCTCCAGGGACAGAGCCGCGCGCACCATCACCCTGACTCAGTCACACTTGGTGCGCCAGGTCCTTCAGAGGTTCGGCCTTCAGTTCTCCTCAGCACAGCCCACCCCTCTTCCTCTGGACCACAGACTCTGCGCTCCAGTTCCTGAGGAGTCGGTAGATCCCAGTGGTCCTTACGCTGAGCTGGTGGGTTGCCTCATGTACCTGATGACTTGCACTCGCCCAGATCTCGCATACCCTCTCAGCATCCTGGCTTGCTTTGTAGCTACAGGCAGACACCGACCTCAGCACTGGTCTGCTGCTAAGAGGGTTTTGCGTTATCTTGCAAGTATATCGGGCATGGGGTTAGTGCTAGGAGAACGTAGGCCAGTGGTCCTTACTGGGCACACAGACGCTTCTTGGGCAGACGACGCCGAGACCCTCAGGTCCTCACAGAGCTACTGCTTCAGCCTTGGTTCAGGTGCCGTCTCGTGGAGAACTACCCGCTCCTCGTCTGTTGCCCAGTCCAGCTGTGAGGCCGAGATCTACACCGGTGCCATGGCGGCTCAGGAGCTCCGCTGGCTGACCTTCTTGCTCACTGACTTAGGTGAGCGGCCTAGCTCTGCCCCGGTCCTGTACGCTGACAACAGGGCCATGATCCTCCTGTGTCAGGAGTCTCGACTCGAGGGCAGAGCGAAGCACATTCAGCTGCGGTACTTCCTCCTGCGTGAGCTGCTGCAGCGTCGCCAGGCGCGCGTAGTACACTTGGCCTCCGGTGCCAACACAGCTGATATCTTTACGAAGGCGCTTGCGCCTAAAGATCATCAGCGGCACTGTGTACAGCTGTGTATCGTTCCTGTAGCCTCTCACTTGATAGGGCCTTGACTGTGTACTGTCCTTTGTATATATATTTTACCCAGACTGGCCTTGTGGCTTCTCCCAGTGGCTGGACTAGTAGTGCGGCCTTGGGCTTGTTCTTGCCTTGTCTGCACTCCTTTTGCCTTGTCTCAGAGGCTGGACTAGTAGTGCCGCCCTGAGCTGCTTCTTCCCTTGTTAGGCACTGCCCCTATGTAGTCTAGGGGGTGTGTCAAATGTAACTTAGGTTGTTACTGTAGACTATACTGGATTGTGGCTTAGAGGGTACGACACCCTAGTCTATATATCCTTGTACACACACATTCTAGTTTCAATCATTCTCTTTCTGATACACACGACCACCACCCACAACATCCGCTACAGACATCCCCTCGTCGTTGCTTGTTACAGGGTTAATAAGAGAGTACTTGACGGAAAACGGGATAACAACAGAGCAGTACAGCTGGAAATAATGCCGGTCGTTGTTACACCAGTCGTGGAATGGTTACGCGTGGGATGTGTTAGAGAAGACAGCAAAGCAAGCTCGAACGAAGCTCTACAACAGTAACAGAGATATATAGATATTCAATCAGACGCGAATCACAGTCAGATGAGGCTCTCGTTGTCCTCCTTCCACTCCCTGGCAGCTCGCAGCACGTCGGTGGGCGTGGCAGCGAGGGGCGAGTCGATGTTCAATGCATCCAGAATGGCCGGTATTCCTGACAGGTAGCTCGTGTGGCCGTCCACCAGAGGCGTGAGATCCACCTGGTTGCGTGGTGGGGGGAGTGGGATAGGGAAGGAGGGGAGAATGGAATGACTTTTAGGAGGTGACGTCTGAGTTGACTCATTAACCCTCTACTCCTGACAGGAAGGTGCGGGGAAGGGAGGAGGAGAAAGGCGGCTAGAGAAGGGTGCGTCGTCATAATAGTAAGTCCCAAATGGTGAAGAGAAAGTAGAGGGTCTAAGGGGAGAAAAGAGAGGGAAAGAATGGGAGGAAGGAAGAGGAGGAGCGTCGCTTGATGCAGACTTACATTTTCAACCCCCTTGACGTTGACTGCCTGAATGCCTGCGACTCCTGACAGCAGGAAACTGTGGGAAAAGCATATGGGAGGGATGGGGGGTGGGAAGGGGAAGGAAGGAGGAGAGGAAGTGAGAGAATGAAGGAAGGGCGGTAATGAAAGGCACAGGCAGGACTAAGAGAGTGTAACAAGGGCGCACTTGATAACACATGGTTGCTATCTATGAGCTAATATTTCAAGAGACTTCCTTGCTTGCAACACACGGTTGCTTACGCACTTAATAACAGATGGTTGCTCTCTACGGACTAATATTCAAGTGCACAAACTCTGGCCTGGGCCTGATCCACAGTGCACAAACTCTGTCAAACTCTTGACTCTAGACTATCCAGCCACTTGCTACCTGGTGGGGTACATGAGCCCCAGCGCCGCAAGCAAAGGCCTGGACATGATCCATTCGAATTTTGAGTCGACTCAAAATTCAACTGCGCAAGCAAAGGCCTGGAGATGATCCATCCACAGTGAAAATGAAGCGAAAAGCCGCAAACTTTGTCTAGACTATCCAACCACTTGGCCTTGGTATGCATGTACCTGGTGTGGTACATGAGCCCCAGCGCCCCAAGTGAAAAGCCTGGAGATGATCCATCCACAGCGCGCAAACTTTGTATAGGCTCTAGAGTACCTGGTGCGATACATGAGCCCCGGCGCCGCAAGATGACTTTTGAGTCGACTCAAAAGTCCCTGCGATACATGAGCCCCGGCGCCACAAGCGAAAAGCCTGGAGATGATCCATTATACAGTGTGCAAACGATGCCTAGACTCTAGACTATCCACCCACTATCCATCCATACCTGGTGCGGTACATGAGCCCCAGCGCCCAGTCGTTCTCACAGTACCCGTTCACCAACCGGCCCGACACAACCTGGGGTGGTAAGGGGAAAAGGGATAAGGGGAAGAGGGGTAAGGGGAAGAGGAAGAGGAGGACAGCAGCAGTGGCCTTGACTGTAGTAAGACAGCAACGTCACGCTAGGATTTGAGAATTCTCAAAGCCAACAGGTCATGCTGGTTCGAACTGACTTGCTTGGAGGGTAAAGAGGTCGGAGTGAGAGGACAGAGTGTGAGTGAGCTTTTGAGCCCAGTGAGGGGTGTGGTGTGTGTGCGTGTTAGAAGCGACCACCCAGAAAAATATACTAACGATCACAAGGCTTTGGAAGCTAATAAAGGGGTGAACACTTTCGACAGGAGCGGGATCGAGAGATTGGAGATTGAACCATGGGTGAAAAAAGGCAAGCGTGAAGGAATGATCCCTCTCTACAAGGTGAGTTCTGTACTCTCGCTCATGGCTCTTTCCTCCCAATCACTCTCCTCGCATGCCCCTCGCCTTCCCTCCTCCACTCTTAAGAGCTGGCTCGATTGCAGCAAGCTCACTGAGCAAACGCTGCCTAATCTGAGTGCTCTCCCCCCTCATGCCCCTCGCCTTCCCTCCTCCTCTACCTTCGCCCTTCACCCTTCACCCACCACCCTTCACCCTTCACCCTTCACCCTTCACCCTTCACCCACCACCCTTCACCCTTCACCCACCACCCTTCACCCACCACCCTTCACCCACCACCCTTTACCCTTCACCTTCCTCTGCATCTCCTTCCCTCTTCCTTCCTTCCAATCTCACTTCCCTCTCACCCTTCCCCCCTGCTCCCCACCTTCACTCTCCCCCCTCACTCGCCCCTCTCACTCGCCCCCCTCACTCGCCCCTCTTACTCTCCCCCCTCACTCGCCCTTTCACTCTCCCCCCTCACTCCCCCCTTTCACTCTACCCCTTGGATGCCCTCCTCACACGCTCCCCTCTCACTCTCCCCTCTCACTCTCGCCCCTCACTCTCCCCTCTCACTCCCCCCTTCACTCCCTTCTCACCCACCCCCCTCACTACCCCCTCACTCCCCCCCCTCACTCCCCCCTCTCACTCTCCCCCCTCACTTCCCCCCCTCACTTCCCCCCCTCGCTCTCCCCCCCACCTCCTCCCGTGCCCTCACCCGTCGTGCTGCCCCCCATGCCTTGCTGTCTCGTGCTGCCACCGGCGCACCCAATAGCACTGCCCGCTCAACCACCCCCACTGCCGATCCAGGGGGGGGGGAGGGGGGGGGAGGAGGGAGAGGAAGAAAGGGGTGGGGAGGAGGAGAATGAGGCACCAGTGAACCAACCCGGTGTCCCCAACCCACTGCAAATTGAGGATACCAGGTTGGGAGGAGAGGGAAGAGGGGGGCGGGATGGGAAGGACGAGAACGAGACACCAGTAGGCGGGGATGAGGCACGGGGTGACTTTTGAGTCGACTCAAAACTTACTAGGTGCTCTGGAACGCCGACAGCAAATGGTGGGGAGGCGGGGTGGAGAAGGGGCTATCAAGACGCGAACTACTCGGAATTCTCCATTACTAAGAGCATCTGGCGCAAGGCTTCAGATGGTTTTTGAAGAATCTATAAGGCAGACGCAATGCAATTAAGAGGCGCATTGGCAGCATGAGCAAGCTATTGTTGCACTATTTTGGTTGTCGAGCCCATGGGAGCAGGGTCTTATATGAAGGGAAAACATAGGGCATTCCCATAGGGATGAGGAACGAGGGATGCGGGATGGGGAGCGAGGAACAACGAACGAGGGTTGAGGGATGGGGGATGAGGGACGAGGGACAATAGGCGGGGGACGATAGAAGAGGGGCAAGGAACGGAGGCTCACTGGCGGCATGGCCTTTAGCAGCAAGGTGAGTGAGGCAGGAGAAGATGAGCCGAGCTCCCATAGTGAAACCGATCAGTGTCACTGGCCTGGGGAGAGAGAGAGAGAAGATACAAATGTACAGAGTGAACATAGGATACAGGTTGAGAATGGCATGGCAGATTGACCGATGCCAGAAAAAGGCGTCGCATATATGCGAGAGAGAGACTACTATCTACAGCCCGGTGGACGGCCACAAGGCTGACCTCGCAATCCGTGACCGTGACTCCGGTGCCGTCTGGATCTGCGACGTCACAGTCACGGACCCAATCAGCAGCCGGGACCAAAATGCACGGAAGGGGCGTGGGTACATGGCCCGCGAACAGACCGACAAGAAAATCTACCACTAATGCAACAGGGCCCCCTATGTTGGCTTCTTCCCTCTTGCCGTAGAGACGTACGGCTGCCCCTGTGCCGAAGTCCCTACCTTCTTGAAGCTGCTCGCGGACACAGGGGGCAGGAGGCTCTTCAATTTGGACCCGAGCTCCTACCAAGCGGCGAAGCTGCTCCACCAGTTTCGCCAGCGCTGGTCAGTAACACTCCAACGGACGCAGGCCCTGGCTTACTTGGGGAAGGTTAACGAGGCCTCCCTTGCCCCGCACCCCTCCGTGGGTTCCCTTGACGCCGTCATGGCCCCAGGGGACTGTTTTACCGTAGCAGAGCCCCTCGGGGAGCTCGAGTAGGCTGGGGTCCCTTAGCATGCACGTACCTTGCCTCGTTGTCACCCTACCTGCCTAGCCTGTACCCAGGCTTCCAGCAATTAACGGACCGCTTGTGTGAGAGAGAGAGCCTGGCCTAGAGGGATTGTTTTCGATAGGACCCACCCGCCGTGGTTATCTCGGTTGTAACCAGGTTCCATTAATACACGGACCGCTTGAGAGGCTGGCTTAGAGAGTTCCAATCCAAGTGTTCCTTCCAGGAAAAAGACGTACCTGAACACTTGAAGAGTACGTGAACCCTCCAACCAAGTGCTCCTTCCAGCCAGAAGCAGCACAACCACCTTCAAGCGCCTCAGAAATAAGGTTGGTTTTTGGAAGTTCTCAGCACTAGAGGGCGTACCTGGATCCCTGTGTTCTCTCCAACAGCACATCTGCCAGCACGGCTCCTGCCTTGTCCGTCCTGGCGTTGCCACACACACACACACACAAAGAGGGCAGCGCACAGTCCGGAATGCGTGTGATGTGAGTGTGCTGTGAGTGTGATGTGAGTGTGCGGTGAGTGTGCTGTGAGTGTGATGTGAGTGTGCTGTGAGTGTGATGTGAGTGTGCTGTGAGTGTGCTGTGAGTGTGATGTGAGTGTGCTGTGAGTGTGCTGTGAGTGTGCTGTGAGTGTGCTGTGAGTGTGCTGTGAGTGTGCTGTGAGTGTGCTGTGAGTGTGCTGTGAGTGTGCTGTGAGTGTGCTGTGAGTGTGCTGTGAGTGTGCTGTGAGTGTGCTGTGAGTGTGCTGTGAGTGTGCTGTGAGTGTGCTGTGAGTGTGCTGTGAGTGGAGGCAGCAGCCACGAGCAGAGTCATGGGCTTGGAGGGTGTTGTTGAGAATTCTAAAAAACACCGAGCAGAGTCATGGGCTTGGAGGGTGTTGTTGAGAATTCTAAAAAACACCGAGCAGAGTCATGGGCTTGGAGGGTGTTGTTGAGATTTCTAAAAAACACCGAGCAGAGTCATGGGCTTGGAGGGTGTTGTTGAGATTTCTAAAAAACACCGAGCAGAGTCATGGGCTTGGAGGGTGTTGTTGAGATTTCTAAAAAAACACCGAGCAGAGTCATGGGCTTGGAGGGTGTTGTTGAGATTTCTAAAAAACACCGAGCAGAGTCATGGGCTTGGAGGGTGTTGTTGAGATTTCTAAAAAACACCGAGCAGAGTCATGGGCTTGGAGGGTGTTGTTGAGAATTCTAAAAAACACCGAGCAGAGTCATGGGTGGAACAAAGCATACTGCTTCGTAACCCCCACACCCATCCATCCCCTTCCCATTTGCACCCCCCCTCTTGCAATCTCACTAAGTAAATAACCCCCCCCCCAACCCTCCCCTTCCCACCTGTTTACAGCCACGCTCCATTTGTCATCTATAGAAGCAGCAGCCGTGAGCAGAGTGATCGGCCAAGCAGCAGCCGCCCCCAACACCTGCACCGCCACCATGGCCCCCCCTGTTGCCACAGACCGCTGCACCGCAGCTGGGGAACGGGAGAGTGGGAGGAAGAGGGCGAGGGAAGCAGAGAGGAGAGAAGCGCATGTCAGTTGCCCCTCCATGCAGAGAAGTCGCCCCCAGCACTTGCATGGCCATCATGCCTCCTTCTGTTGCCACCGACTGCTGCACCGCAGCTGGGGAAAGGGGGAGTGAGAGGAGCGGAGGGGTTCTTTGGGGAGGGGGGGGGAGAGAGAGAGGTGCATGTGTTATTTGACATGACGCAGAAGCAGCCGCCTCCAGCACCTGCACGGTTATCATTGGCTCCAGCACCTGTTTTTGAGGCGCCTCAAAAATAGAGGCGCCTCAAAAATCGCCTCCAGCACCCGCACGGTCATCATTGGCTCCACCTGTTGCTACTGACCACTGCAGCAGCTGGGGAAGGGGAGGAGAATGCAAGATGGATGGACGCATAGAAACCGGTTCTAGCACCTGCACTAGCATTGAGGTGGTTCCTCCGGTTGCTACTGACCGCTGCAGCGCAGCTGGGGAAGGGGAGGAGGATGCGAGATGGATGGTCGCACAGAAATGGCTTCTAGCACCTGCACTAGTTTTGAGGCGCCTCAAAACTAGACTCCTATCACGAGGATGCGAGATGGATGGTCGCACAGAAAGGGCTTCTAGCACCTGCACTAGCATTGTTGTGGCATCGGGGTTGCTACTGACCGCTACACCGCAGTTGGTGAGGATTGGCGCCACGGGGGGTTAGTATAACTAGAGGTACAAGCAACTGCTAGCTACCCAAGGGGGGTTACTAAGAGTAGAGGTAAAGTACCCAAGTCCCTTCCAGCCGCTGCTGACACTGACTGCTGCACCGCAGCTGTACCCACACTTCATTGGACAGACACACGTTTTGAAGAAAAAGAAAAACAACAACAAAAAACAAAGAGGAACGCTTAACACTCAACACTCAGCGCTCCACACTTAACACTCCACGCTCTGCGCTCGGCGCGCCGTACTCAACTGGACATGAGCCAGTCATGGATGGCTCTGCTTGATGTGATGAGGTCCGCTGACTGCCACACCACCGCGAATCTAATGAGAGGAGGGGGGGAGGAGTAGGGGGTGGGAAGAGGGGGAGAGAGAGAGAGCGCGAAGAAGAGAGAGAGAGAGAGGAGAGGAGCAAGCGAGGGTGTGGAAATGACAAGAAAGGACTCGTTGAGGATGGCAAGCGTATCATGAGATGAGGGAGAGACGAAGAGAGAAAGGGAGGGAGAGAGAAGGGGGGGAGAGAGAAAGGGGGAGAGAGAGAGGGGGGAGAGAGAAAGGGGGGAGAGAGAGAAGGGGGGAAAGAGACACTGCCTCCTGTGGGATGCCATGCCACGTCATGCCATGCCATATGCCATCCAGTGACAATTTGTTCTGTGTTGGTTAGTAGTGACATGTTTTGAGGTGTCTCAAGCCTGGATGGTCGTGGCACACTATCCCCTGTGGGATCCCAAGCCAGTGACATACTGCTCGGTGTCGGTTGGTAGAGACAGCCATGGCTCCACAAAATCCTTGGTGTTGAGCACGTAGCCTGATGCCACCACTGCCACCGATAGCTTCTGCAAACGGTAGGAGGAAACAGAGAGAGAGGCGCACGCAAACACAATTTCTGAGGCACCTCAAACATAGAGTCCTTTGTGTTGAGCACGTAGCCCGATGCCACCACTGCCACCGATAGCTTCTGCAAATGGCGTGGGGAAACAGGGGGGGAGAGGGAGAGAACGGAGAAAAGTTTTGAGGCGCCTCAAAACTAGAAACACACGTTCTGGTTCTGGGGCGCATCAAACACAGAGGTGCTCAGAACATAGCCTCATGCCACCACTGCCCAACCATAGCTTTGCAACAGGGTTTAGGGAACTCAGTAAGGGAAGAAAGAGGCGATGGGTGAGTGGGGGGGCAGAGGGGGAGCAGTGGGGGAGCAGTGGGGGAGCAGTGGGGGAGCAGTGGGGGAGCAGTGGGGGAGCAGTGGGGGAGCAGTGGGGGAGATGGTGAGTTTCGAGTCGAATCAAAAGTCATCTCGTGAGGTGGGGAGGGATGGGGGGTAGGAATGTGTGAGTGTGTCTGATCTCTCTCATGCAAAGGTCCGAAAAGCATAACTTGCCATTCTCGTTCAAATCACTCTGCACGTCTCTGCAAGAAAGCACGCATCCCAACACCATCGTCCTCAGCAGCAGCAGCAGCAAACAGCGGCAGCGGCAGCGGCAGCGGCAGCAGCAGCAAACAGTGGCAGGGGCAGCAGCAGCACCAGAAAGAATGAGGCGCCTGGAAAAAAGAGAACATCCCTGCAAGGAGGCACTCACCCCAACACCGTCCTCATCACCAACACCACCACCACTTCCACCACCACCAGCGCCAGCAGCACCAGACGATGCTGGTTTCCCCCACGGCTCTGCCGACCCCCCACGTCCCCATCCCCCTCCTCCCCCTCCCCCTCGTCGCCCCCCTGCGCCCATGGCTCTGACGGCATCGGCGCTGGCGAGCGGCACAAACCGGAACTCGTCCACGTCGCCCAGGCGCCGCCCCATCTTGTAGCTGCCCATGCGCGCGCCCGCGGCTGAATAAGGGTTGAAGGGGGGAGGGGAGGGGAGTGGGAGGGGGAGTGGGAGTGCAAGAGGGTGTTGAATCGTGCTCACTCACGAACCGGAACTCGTCCACGTCGCCCAGGCGCCGCCCCATCTTGTAGCTGCCCATGCGCGCGCCAGCAGCTGGAAGGAAGGGGGGTGGGAGAGGGGGAGGGGGACGGGAGAGGGGGAGGGGTGCGGGAGATGCGGAGGGGGATGGGAGCGGGGGAGGGGGGCGGGGGAGTGAAACTTGAAATACGGCCTTGTGCTCACTCACGACCGGAACTCCTCCACATCTCCCAGGCGCCGCCCCATCTTGTAGCTTCCCATGCAAGGGGCTGGCGGCTCAGCAGTTGACGGGGAAAGCGGGGGGGAGGTGGGGTGGATGTATAGAATGGGGTGGGGATGTTCTCAACAGCACTTCTAATGGTCTCAGCATCCCCCATGCGCCGCCCCAACGTGTAGCTTCCCATGTGGGGCCCCCAGGCTGAAGGGGGAGGGCTCGGGGAGAATAGAATTGAGAGATGGAAAAGAAGTAGTATCGTCGTGTCACGCCCAGACGCCCCCCCCCTTCCCTCCTCTCCCCTCTTTCCCCCTCCCCTCTCGCCCTTCCTCGAACGGTCCTTTGTTTAAGATAGGAACGGGTACGGCCAACTGGGCACATGGCATTGAACCAAGTTTCCTAGCACAGCCAACTGGGCAGGAGCTCCCCCTAAGGCTACCCCACCTTGGGTTCTAGAACTTGGAGCAGGTCTCCAACGGGGAGTGGCTGGGGTCCGACGGGCCACTCCTCCGCCCGCCCCCCATCCCCCCCACACCCCCTCTCCCCCTTCACTTTCCCCACCTCCCACTAACTCACCGCCAAAGGCGCCAATCATAGCCGCCGAGCCCACAGTGGTCCCAGCAAGCGCAGCAGCCCCAGTGAGAATCCCCCCAGCCACGGGAATCACCGACCCAGCAGCTGACATCCCCGCCAGCAGAACAGGCGCAGCAAGGCCCCCGGTAACTGCCAGCAGCGCCCCTGTGCCCACTGCTGCTGCGCCTATGCTCATGGCTCTCCCCCACCCGCCCCACTTGCTGCTGCTCGCCTGTGCCGCCTTGGCTTTCTCTGCTGCCGCTGCGGCTGCTGCCTGGTCGATCTGCACCTGCGCGTTGTAGGCTGCTGTTGCTAGCATGCGCTCCATGGCAGCCTGGTGGGAGTTGGGAGGGAGGGGATGGGAGGGCAGGACGTAAAAGGACGGGGGAAGGAACCCTACATCCCAAACCCTAGATCCTAAACCCTGAATCGTGCTGCCTGGCCGATCTGCTTCTGTGTGTTGCATCGTGCTGTTTCTTGCCTGCGCTCCATGGCAGCCTGGTGGGGGGTGGGGTTGGGGATGCGAGGGCAGGAAAGGGAAGGACAGGGCGAGGATATTGCAAGGCGAGCGAGTCAAGCAACACACACTCGTATCACACGCAAACGCAAGAACAAAATACACCCCATGAAGACTCCGATCCATATTTTGCGCTGTGGATTGGCGTCTCTCACTGGAGGCACGATCTTGCCTAGTGTGTCGGATGTGATCATGGTCCTAATTGAGGCCGCTCCAGCTCTGGCCAGGCAGCTTGTGTTAGCGGCCGTTGCAGGAGGTAAGAAGCATGCAAATCGAAATGAACCGGGTCCTGAGAAGGGCCATGTGTAACTGGCCAGTGAGCTTCATCCCACTTGCAACTTGTATACCATACGTCACATACATACCAGAACGCATCAGTCAAAACACCCACCCACCCACGCACGCACGCACACACAGAGCACGGCTGTCACACACAGAAGCGCGATCAGAATATACCCACAACAAAATAGATAAGGCACGTCACATACCACAATGGACCAGTCTAGCTGCAACCAGAGAGCCAGATGCCTGTGCCCCGTGCACGTGATAATAATCGTGTTTCGAGACATCTCAAATCACAAAACCCCGATGAACTAAAGAAACACACACGAAGGCTCGACACATACCACCATGGACCAGTCGAGCTGCAGCCAGAGGGCCAGGTGCCTGAGCGCTGTGCGCTCGCGAGAATCGTACCCGCCCGCCTGCACGCCCTGCACCGTTGCATCCCCTGCAGCACCAGCACCAGCACCAGCACCAGCACCAGCCGCACCACCTCTCCCTGCGGTGCGTTCGTCAGACATGAACGCGGCGAGCAGCTCCCACAGCACTGCAATGCGCACGTCCTCGGGAATACCCGCCACTGCTGCTGCGAACGGCACTGGCTGGCGGGCTGCTGGGGGGGTCGGGCAGGGTGGTGGGGTGGGGTTGAGTGGGGTGAGTGAGAATGCTGGGTGGGAAGTGAATGCCAGTTGCTTGCAGAGGTGAGGCTGGGTGTGGCTTGAGCAGGAAACTCACGGGGAACAGCTGGTTTGGGTGCACTTGGTGCACTTGGTGCAGTCGAAGCAGTTGGCGCATTTGGTGCAGTTGATTGTGGTGTCAGTTCGAGAGGGCATCCCATACTCCACCCCGGGATATCCAATGCCCCCCCGGTGTCTGCTGCCACCCCTGTTGAGACTTCCGCTGCTGCTGCTGCGGCTGGTGGTGGTGGTGCGGATGATGCCGGTGCTGCTGCTGTGTGCAATGGTCCGAACGATACCGGTAATTCTGCTCCTGTGGATTCAGCTGCCATGGGCCCTTCTCCACCTAGTGAGTCCGCAGCTTCTGAGACGGCAGTCTCCGCTGCTTTTGCTGGCCCTGTCTCCCCTTGCTCTCTCACCTCGCCTACCTTTGACGCAGCAGAGGCGGAATCAGGTTCCGAAGCAGAAGAGGCACCAGCAGTGGCAGCAAGTGCACTAGCAGCAGCCGCAGCCGCAGCCGCAGCCGCAGCAACGGCATCAGCAGCAACATCACCACCCCGCCCACTCATCTCACCACTCCCCCCATCAGCTGCTGTTTTCCCTCCAACATTTTCTGCATCCCTTTCGTTATTGTCATGGCCCGCCACCACCTTCTGTGTCGCATCCTCAGTCTCTTCGTCCTTATCCTCGTTATCATCATGATCAACACCACCATTATCACCAAGCCCACCACTGTTACCAGCCCCCTCATTCTGGCCCCACCCACTACCCTCCTCCTCATCCTCTTCCTCTCCCTCCTCACCCCCAAAGAACCCCCCATCACCAAACCCCCCTCCGCCTGCGAACCCCCCTCCCCCAAACCCCCCTCCAAACCCACTCCCACCTCCATCCACACCTTCCTCCTCCCCCTCGTCGTCGTCCTCCTCCTCGTCCGCATTGAAAAACCCTCCTCCGGAAAAAGGGGAGGGGTGGGCTGCTGCTCCCATACCGGCCCTACTGCCCCCTCTCACCCCATACGTCTCCTCCTCCTCCCATGCCCCGCTCTTTGTTGCAGCCTGTCTCTGCTTCTCTCTCTCTCTTGCCAAGCGTTCTCTCTCTCGTTCCATTTCTAGCTCGAGCTCCCGCTCTCTCTGCTCCTCAGCCTCCCTTGCTCTTACCCTCTCCCTCTCCATCTCCCTTTCCCTTTCCATCTCCCTTTCCTTCTCCCTCTCCTTCTCCTTCTCCCTCTCCTTCTCCCTCTCCTTCTCCTTCTCCCTCTCCTTCTCCCTCTCCTTCTCCCTCTCCTTCTCCTTCTCCTTCTCTCTCTCCTCCCTCCCCTTGTCCTCAATAAACTGCTGTTCTAATCTTACTGTATTCCCAACCCCACCAGTCCCACCAACCCTACCAGCACCAGCACCAGCGCCAGCAGCACCGGCACCAGAAGCCGTTGCCCCATGGCCCAGGCCACTTGCCCCTCCAGTTACCTTCTCCTTCTCGTCCCAACCATCCTCCAAGCCCCACCCAGAGGTCCAGTCATCCACCTTCTTACCTCCTCCTCCTCGTCCATCCAGCCGCATCTGCTGAACCCCCTTCTCCACCCCACCAGCACCAACACCACCCGCACCACCTACCCCTGCGCCTACTCCCCCCCCTGTCTCCCCCTGACCTCCCCCCCCATGCGCAGGGGGGCCGCCCCCTGCTGCTGCAGCTGCCTCATGCATGCGCCTGCGCTCCCCCTGCCATGCTGCCCTCACCTCCCTCCGCTCCCTCTCCCTCCGCCCGCGCGCCTGCTGCTGCAGCTTTGAAGCCTGAGCGCGAACACACTCTGCCACTGCCGCCACCCTCTCCCTCTCCCCTGGGGGCAGCGACGCACTCTCCTGCACCAGCACGCCCAGGAACTGGAGGGGTGGGTGAGGGGCATGGGGAGAGGTCAAGGGGGTGGGGGGAAAGTGAAAGGTTGTTTTGGGTCCTCCTCACACTCCGCCACTGCCCCCACTGCGCCAACCTCTCCCTCTCCCCTGGGGACAGCGACGCACTCTCCTGCACTAGCACGCCCAGGAACTGGAGGGGTGGTGCGTGAGGGGCATGTCCCATGGGGAGCCTTCAAGGGGTTAGGGGAAGGGAGAGGATTGTTTGGCTCTTCCTGGCACTCCGCCACTGCCTACCCTGCGCCACCCTCTCCCTCTCCCCTCCGGAGGAAGCGACGCACTTTCATGCACTAGCACACCCAGGAACGAGAGGTGTCTGGGGGGTGGGAGAGAAAATTAAGGGGGGGAGGGAGTGGGGAAGAGAGGTGTCTGGGGGGTGGGAGAGCGAGAGAGAATAGGGAGATACGGAAGCGAGAGGGGGAGTTGAGCAAGAAGGGGCAAATAGGTTCGAGTGACATGAAGTGGACCTTGCTTTACTTGCCTTCTCCTCCCATCTTTCTCCCGCTTTAAGACCTACGCTACTCCTCCTCCCATCCCCCACCCTCCCCCTCCCCTCCCCCTCCCATACATGTCGAGTCATCTTACTTACACCCCGTCCTCCGGCTCATTCAGCAATCTGTCAAAGGAGCCCTCTCTGCTTTCGAGCCACACAGTAACCCTCAAATGCACACAGTAACCCTCTCACTCGCCCGTTCGTTCCATCGCACCAGTAAAAGCAGCCCTACATTATAATATGAAACTTCAAGCGTACCTTTTCAATGTGGGGCTTTAAGGACGGCCCTGCGCTGGCCATCTGACAACACGCGCGAGCATTGGCCTCCGAGAGACTCAAACACCTGCCAGCCAGGACGGCAAAGGTATGCAACAGCCGGGTCACATACATGGTTGCGGTTACACACGTCACATGCATACGCCTGCGGTGAGAAGGTGAGGCTCAGACACCTGCAGCGAAGGTAAAGGCATGCAATGGCTGGGCTACATACATGGTTACTACTGTTGCGCACGCATACACGGAGAAAAAGAATGGGCCGCACACAGGCCGAAAAATAGTTGAAGTTTCTTTTTGTTTTTTTCCTGGTAAATTACGACGGAAGGTAAGGCGAACCAGGTCGTTGGGTGTTAGGACGATCTAACAATGCCTCGAAAGAATCACACATTTAGAACAAGGTCAACGCAGCTTCTGATAGAGCTACCTTTCCGCCTGTCTAGTTTTTAGGCGCCTCAAAACTAGCAGCTTCTTATAGAGCTACCTTTCCGCCTGTCTAGTTTTGAGGCGCCTCAAAACTAGCAGCTTCTGATAGAGCTACCTTTCCGCCTGTCCCAGCAGAAATCTCCGTATTCGACCTCGACAAAACGTGCTAAATCTGGCTTCTGTTTATTTCTCAGGACGGCAGTGCGCACTGGCAGTGACCGTCGGTTGACTTTTGAGTCGACTCAAAAAGCAGCGCGCAGTGACCGTCGGTTCACAACGGGTGACAATCGCCTGCGTTTTAAGTACAACTCACTTCAGCACGTGCTGACACACGCGTATCGCGCTCGGATCCTCCTCCCACACGCTCGCGCGCTGCCCGCCGTCCGATGCAGTTCTCCCCTCGCCGTTCCCAGCGCCCCTTCCTACTACGGCTGGCGGGAGGTCTGCGAACGGCTGTGCGAAAGCGTGCGATCGCTGGCTGAGGGAATCCGCGAGCGCGAATGTGAAGAGCGCGCCGGCTGCGGCTTTCTGCCGTGGGGTGAGCTGCGCCATGATGCCGCTTGCGACGGTAAGGATGCTGAATAGATCGAATAGCGATGAAATGAATGAAATCGCCAAATGGAATTGATCGTAAGGGATGTCACCGGCGCGAGGGGATGCTGTTCAGGAATCTCTATATTTTGGAGACGTGACAATAGCTAACTTGGATGCAAGATATGTTCAAATTTCGAAAGAGCAGGGAATTTTATGTCCGCCTCACTGAAGGCCAGCAAAGCTAGAGAGGCTGAGGAGTTCCTTCTGGTGTGGCATGAAAAATAAGTTGAGGGTTTGGGTTGGGTTGGGTTGAGTGGGAAGTAGAGGGGAAGGGAAGAAGGCAGAAAGAAAGGGGGGCTGGAGGGGGTTAACAGGGGAAGCTGAATGTCGGCGCAGACGACAGTGTCCGCTGTGCAAGCAAGCGCCGCCCAGCTGCTGGAAATCTGTGCCGCGCGCGCTGACTCCGAGGTTCCATTGAACTTGAGGGCAGACTGAGGGTGGGCAGCGGAAATGGACGGTTTCATGCTCCGTGTGCCTGCCCGAATCATCGTTCAGCGAATCAGCAGCTTCTTCCTTCCGCCAGAGATATTTGGCGAGGGCATCTGTCAATGGATTAGGACCTGTGACTCCTAGATCCTAGGAGGGAGAGGCATGACTGGCTTGACTCGGCGCGAAAGAATCAGGACACACTATATGTACACCATGCCCCATCCTGTACATTTCAAAATCCCGTTTTGATAGTAAGTGCACTCTATTTCCATTTTCAAAATTCATTTTTATTTAACGTCAAAAATGGATTTTTAAACATATTTGTATTATAATGAATACTTGTAAGTTTGTAAGATTGTAAAATTGTACATTTTTTCATAGTAGTCAAAACATGCTGTTTTTATTCATAGCTCCGCTGCCCATAACAACTCGTGTAACAGTCGTCGTCGTAACTTAAAGCGAAACATTCCGAGTGTTGGCGCCAAAAATTTGACCATCCAAATGAGCAAACCCTTATGCTGCAGTTCACCATTCCCCCAAACCTTCCCAGGCCCGAGGTTATCCCGATTGCCGAGACCGCCCACCGCCATTGCCATTCCGCACGCTTCCCAGCCCCTAGGGGCTATGACGTGAGTCCACGGAGGCAAGTTCCCCCATCCAGCAAGGCCCACCGCCCCGCACCACCACCCACAAACCCACCTTTGGGATACCCTTTCGCGCACCTCCACAGAACATGCGTCCAATCGGCGGGGCGGGGGGGCGCTGCTTTACGTGGGGGGCATCTTCCTGTTCCCCCGCGACTGCGACACCCCACCCAGGACAGGCAGATGTTCCTCATCACTCCACCCCACCCTTCCCCCCCAACCCCCTCCCCCCTTCCCCACCTCCACCTCCTCCACCTCCGCCCCCAGGCCACAGAAACACGCGCAAGGCTGGTGCGGGAGGTGCTGCGGAAGCAGATGCAGGGTGATGGGGGAGAATGGGGTGATGTCGTGTCGGTTCGGGGTCGAGACAGACACCGATATTGACAGCTGCGGGCGGGCCTCCCGAGGGGAAGCTCCCCACACCCCCCTCCCCCCCCCCCCCGCGCCCTCACCTACCCTCAACTACACTTAGCGTTCGTTCATTTTACACTCAATATCTTCACAGGAGTTACCGCGGAGAGGGTATCACCCCCCGAAAACAGCTACTGAATACCATATCCAAATACCCTTGAAAAACAAATTCAGCTTGGATTTCTATACGAAACGTTTACTGCTCGATCTAGTGTTTCTCGAGTCAGGAAACCCGACGTCAGCTTAGGCAGTGCTCAAAGTTTTTGCCCGCGTGGAGTCTGCCACGCTTAGGCTGTAGGAACAAGGGAGCACTGTCTACGCACTCAGAAATAGTCAGGATAGAAAATTTGTTTTTCTGCCGTCCAATTTCAGGGTGTAAATTTACCGCGGGCTTAGTGTAACACCCCGCCGTCGTCAAGCACACGGACAGGCTCACGCGATGACGCGACGATCCGCCACCACCACGCCACCCTCTCAAGCAAGCAATCGAGTTTTGCTCCCCGCAGCTTCATAAATCGTGAAGCAACAAGCTTCCAGCAGAGCAGGCCAGACCCGTCACCCCAGTAAACAAAGAAACGTCAGCTTCACACAAGGAAGCTCAAGTTTGCGCGATCGTTCGAGGCACGTAAATGCCAGGCCATTTCCCCTGGTTTTCAATCTCTTGGTTCTTCGTTAGCCCTTGGTGAGTAGCATTCGGAGCTTCGTTGGTCTGGCATTACCCCTCGCGTCCTCGCAGTCCTCATAAACTTACAGCCCCACAGTATTCCGCTTCGGAACGATAGTCTCTAAACTTGACAGTTACCCCGCCGTTTTAATCTGGCTCGTTGGTTCAGTCCTTGGCAGTGGAAATCTGTTCGTTCAAACCATTCTACAATGAATAATCTGGACCGTCCGTTCGCTGTGTCGATGGTGCACGCCGCAAATCCGAGCGCGATAGCACTTGTGCTGTCAAGTTCAGCCGGACAAGAGAGCAACATACCGCCATTAGTATCCATGCCCTCAGCACCAGCAGCCGTATCAGCCGCACCAGCCGCACCAGCCGCACCAGCCGCACGAGCAGCACCAGCATCACCAGCACCACCGGTAGCAGACCGTTCCTCGTCTTCTCTTACCGCCGTTCCCATCTCATGGCCACAGTCCTTTCTTAACGCGGAAGATCCCCAACCGTCGGATTATAGCAGAGCAGCGTCTAGGCCATCTAGCGAAGGCAGCGGACTTGCTGTGGAGGCGGAGAAGGAGAAGGTGGAAGAGGAAGAGAAGGAAGAGAGGGAGGGGTTGCTTTGTGGTACCAACACGCGGCAGCAGGAAGGGCAGGGAGGAGAAGGAGGAGACGGAGGAGGAGGAGGAGGAGGAGGAGGAGGAGGAGGAGCAGGAGAAGGAGCGTGGGGAGGAGTATTTCCGGCTAAGTGTCAAGATCAGCCGGATCGGCTGCGTGAGCAGCCATCGCTGCGGGATCGAGGAGTGCATGTGGAGCAAGGGGGCGAAGTCGGACGGCAGATACAGGCAGAGCAGGGTCGACTGCAGCATATGGCGGAGGAGGACGAGGAGGAAGAGCAGCAGAAGCAAAACCAGGATCAGCAACAGCGGCAGCAGCCGCGGCGGCGGCGGCCGCACCTCCGCGCGGCGATCAACGGCAGCACAAGCTGCCGGCCGGCCCCGGCCGCGCCGAGATTCGTGCGCCCGGGCGCAATCAAGCACAAGCTTGAGAGCAAAACCCTGGCAACCAAGCGCCCCCGCCCCAGCTCCGCACGCTCGCTCACCCCGCTCTCCCCCAATCCCCCCTCAGCCCTAGTTCCGCGGAGAGGCGCGCGCGCGCGTGCGCCCCCGGGGGGAGCCCTCGCTCCGCTCTCCCTTGCACTTTCCGCGCCGACCCCCCGACTGGCGGGCAGTTTGAGGTCACGGGGGACCGTCGCCGCTGTTCCGCTTTCGGACTGGCAGGTTGCGCAAACGGCTTGGCCGGCTCCGCGCGCGGGCGTTGGCGTGTTAGCGTCAGTTTTAGCCGATTCCGTTATTATAGCGAATGTTCCTGATGTAACCAACACTGTTATGGCGGATGATCCTCCAGCAGCAGCAGCAGCAGCAGCAGTGGCACCAGCAGCAGCATCAGCAGCAGCGGCAGCAGCAGGAGCGGCGGCGGCGGATCTGTCGCTACTGCGCGCCCCGCCCGCCGTGTTCCGCGGGCCGTGCGCCTCCTGCCCCGTCAACAAGCACCGCCGAAAGCTCTACGCCGCTCCGCCCTGCTTGCGATTCTGCGCGACTCCGGCGCCGGCGACTCCGGCGACTCCGGCGACTCCGGCGACTCCGGCGACGCAGATCGCTGTGGTCGAGGCGACGGACGAGCAGGCCATGGGGAGAGAGGAGGGGGGAGTCCGCGGGACTTGGAACGAAGCCCCTGGGCGAGAGAGTGACGGAGATATTAGCCGAGGGAGTGGCGAGGAGGCGGACAGGGAAACGGGGGGTGGAGAGTCGGGGGACGGAGTGACTGATGCGAATGGAGAGGCGGATCGCGAGGAGGCGGATGTGCGGCAACTGACGGTTGTCGAACCGGAAGCAAGGCAGGAAAGGCTGGAGGCGGAAAGGCAGCAGGACGGAATGCGGCAGCTGAGGATAAGCAGAGAAGAGAGAGCTGGAGGAGAGATCAACGGGCAACTGGCGCGCGAAGGGGGCAACAGCAGTCCTAGTCGTATAGACAATCCCATACCTACCTCCATCGATGGCACTATAAACACCCCTAGAAGTAGCTTTATAGCTTCCCCGTCCTCCGTAACCCCTGTCGCCCCGCCCTCCCCGTCGTTAACCCTCTCCCCTTCCCCCGCGCTCCTCCCGTCACCCGCCATGCCCCACTCACGCTCTGCTCACCGTGCGCCTTCCGCCATCCCGCCCCTCCCCGCAAGCCTACCCCACCTAACCGCGGGGTTGCCCCCTTTATCTGGGAGGCCTTTTTCCTCCCCGGAACCGCGCACCCCCCCCGCCGTTCCGCGCCTGCGCTTGCAGCGCACTCCGCGGAGCCTGTTTGGGCGGAGAATAGGCATGGCGCATGGGCAGGTGCAGGGGCAGGACGCGCGTTTCGGGGGGGCGGACTGGGAGGGGGAGAGGGAAGCAGCGGAGGCAGGGATGCGGAGTTTGAGTGTTGGGGGAAAGGGAGAACGGGCGGAAGGGTTCGGGTTTATGTACCTGCCTCAAGATATCGTGGTACGTGCAGGGACTATGGGACTTGTTTGCAAGTTGGTATTTGAGAATTCTCAGAAACCAACGGATCTGCCTCAAGAGGTTGTGGTGCGTGCAGGGACTATGGAAGGTGATTGCAGAGTGAGGCAGTGCAAGAATGGGAGCATAGGCTGATATGACGATTGCGAGATGCTGGATGGAGGCTGTAGCAGGCAGACTGGTGGATGGCGGGCGGGTTGGGTTGGGGAGGGAAAGGGGGGAAGTGGAGGAGAGGGGGAGGGAGGGGGAAAGGGGGAAGGTTGGGGTGTAGTGAGTGTATTTTGTTGTTTTGGCACTTGTAAAATTATGAGATGAAATGCAAACCGTTCTCCTCCTCCTTCCCTCCCCCTTGCTCCCATTGCAGATCCGAATCATCTGTTGCCTAAGGCATCACGAGCTCTCGTCTCTCCTCCTCACCTCTAAAGCCATCAGCTATGCAGTATGTTATGGTGTATGAGCGGAAGAGCTTATGAGCCTAGGGGTTCGTGGGCTCATGAGATCCGTACCGCTGTTACGCAGTTGTTGCAACGTACATGTCATTCGTACATTTCTGATCAGCTCGTGCTGGTTCCCTCTCTTCCCCTCTCCTCTCTTCCCCTCTCCTCTCTCCCACTTTCCTTTCCCAACTCCCATCTCCCCTCTTCTGTATCCGCTCCACCCTCTACCTTCTCCCATCCCCCCTTCCCTCTTCCCCCCGCTTTCCCCGTCATCCACTTCCCCGATGTGCTCACACCGCGCGCCATCAATTTTGACTTCACCACTCCAGGCGCACCTCTCCCTAATCCCCTTATCCCCACCTCCTTCCCCCCTCTCCCCCCCCCCCCCCCCCCCCCCGCTTCCTTTCCCCCAGGTGATCACTGTGGGCGCCACCCATTTAGACTTGACCACTCCAAATGTGGACAGGAGGGGCGCCCGGCGCACGTCTCCCTATTCCCCTCATCCCCACCCCCGTTCCCCCTCCCCCCCCAACCCCCCCCGCGCTTCCTTTCGCCCAGGTGCTCACTGCGCGCGCCATCCATTTTGACTTCACAACTCCGGACGTGGACAGGAGGGGGGCCAGGGGGCGGCATTCCCGGGGGCTGCGCTGGGGAAGGGGGGGCGGTGTGAGGCAGCATGCACAGGGAGGAGTGAGGGTGATGAGGTGAGAGGGGGTTGCATGGGGGGGTCTGAGGGTGAGCTGCAGTGTGAGGAAGGGCTGTGACATGGGGGGGGGATGGTGCCTGTTGGGTGCGACAGCTTGAACGAGGGACCTGGGCTTGGCAAGTGGTGCAAGGGGCAGATGGCAGGCATGGTGATTATGGCACACTGTCGCACTGTGAATATGCTTTTAATAGAGCATGCATTCTGGTCTCTCTTCCCCCCCCGCTTCCTACTTCCCCCCAATCTCCCCACTTTCTGAGTTAGCACTTCTTTATTCTCTCCTTTACGCACTTCCGTTTTCTTCTTTTGATCCTCACCCACCAAGTTTGGAATCCTTCTCCCTCCCTCCCTCCCTCCTTTCATTCGTTGGTTCGTCCTTCACTTGATCTGCCTCTCACCTTCTCACCCTCTCACCCTCTCATCCTCTTTGCTGGCATGCTCTCTCTGCTGTCGGCCTTGGTGCAGGGTGGTGGAGCGCCGGGAGAGTCCGCACAGCATCAATGTCGCACACACAAGCAATCCCATTCACGCGCCGCCTGCTGCTCCTCCTGCTCCTCCTGTTGCTGCTGTTGCTCCTCCTCCTGCTGCTGCTGTTGCTGCGCCTGCCCAACCAGACATGCCTATGCATGCAGGCTTGGGTATGCCTACAGAGACTTGTGCACATGTCCAGGCAGGTGCACATGGGACGGGCACGCCATGTGGATCCATCTCCGACGCGGGGTTTTCTTCGGGGGGGAGCAAGTGCGTTGATGGGGGGGGTAGCAGCAGAAGCAGCAGCAAGAGCAGCTGCAGGAGCAGCAGCAGCAATAGCAGTGCTGGTATCAGAACCACGAACGTCCATGGTGCCAGCAGCAGCAACAGCAACGGCAGTAGCAGCAGTAACGCAAGCAACAGAAATATCTGCGGTGATAGAAAGGAGAAGAGGGGGGAGGGAGGAGGGATCAACAAGAAAGAAGGGAGCAACAGGGGAGACAGGGAAAGTGTTGGAGGGGGGGTTGAAGGGCGCGAACATGGAGGAGAAGGGATTGAAGTTGGTGCGAGGGTTGTGAGTTTCACGGGGGGAGTGTGTATGGAGGAGGATAAGCAGGAAGAAGTCTATAAGGGTATGGAAGAGGGGCTTGGCTCCTTGGTACTCAAGCGTGATGGTGAGCCGAAAGATAAACACGGCTTTCACGATTTAAAGCAGGTGTTAGGGGGGCAGCAGCAGCAGCAGCAGCAGCAGCAGCAGCAGGGGCAGCAGGGGCAGCAGGGGCAGCAGCAGCAGCAGGAGGAGCAGGAGGAAGAGGAGTATGAGTTGCACGCCCCACTTGTGCCCCCTCCTCTCCCGCCACACCCCGGCCCTTCCTCGCGATTGCTCAACCCAGCAGTGAGTGCGGAACAGGTGAGACAAGTCACGGCTGTCCTTTTCCCCTCGCCTGCTGCTGCTGCAGCTGCTGCTCCTGCTGCTGCTGGTACAGCCAATCGCTGGCAACTAAGTGTGCTGGAAGAGAGCCAGCAGCAGCAGCAGCAGGATCAGAGTGGTGGAGAGGAGTTGAGAGGGGCGGAGGATGTAATGATGCTACCATCAGCATCTGCATCGGCATCTTCATCCGCATCAGCTTCGTCCCACCGTGCTCTCTTCCCAGCTGCGCCACCTGCTGGTCATGCTATCCTTGAGGCAGGTGCAGTTAGGTAGTGGTGGTGGTGGCCTCTTGCTTTCTCTGTGGATGTACGAACGGGCTAGTAGGTCTCTACTCTACTCATGTAACACCAAGGAATCGTGGTAGAATGTTCACTTGATCTAATTAATTAACACTACGAAATAAGCGTAATTCTAGCAATATCCTAAGGCTAATATTACTTGCAATACACTGCACCACTCTGTACCTGCGCCATGCCATGCGTAAGGGCGTGTCCGATGTGGGATGTTCACAGGTAGTAGGTTCAGCACGGTGCTATACGTTTGAATACTTTTGTAAAGGAATGCAGATAGTTTTAGGGTCGGTGCCTCGACATCCGTTTTGTCGACGGGGGTGAGATGCGGATCAGGCAGATGCAGTACCACAACGCCAGAAGTCATTCTTCCCGGAGTGTTCACGGGGAATTATGCTTAGCAGACCAAACTCCGACCCACTTGTACGTAATCCACAGCACAGCATTAGTGCTCGCAAACATATCTCTGCGCCTGTCTCTATTCCCATGCGCGCATAAAAGCGCTTCCAATTTCACAGTAAGTGGACTAATAATTCGTATAGGTGTAACAAAAGGTGGCCCTAGTCGTAAGATCCACAGAGCGCCACATAACCATCTATGTAGCCCTGGTTGTCTACTGAGGCAAGGTGTGCACACCTCTGCCGACGAGTAAGCTGATGGTCACGAATAAACTAATTCGTATAGATTATTTAGGCTTCCTCGGCCATGGACAGGACTCGGCTTCTGCTGCTGCGACCGCTGTCGTTGCTGCTGCTGCTGTAGCTGCTATCCCTGCTGGTAAAAGCTCCTTGCGCATAGGATATCCCTTATTCCATACGCCGACGAAATTAGGGCTATTTTGTAATTTTCTCCTGCAATCTAGCGAGTAGAGACTGGGAGGGGAGGGGTGTTGTCCGCTCTACATGCAGCAGGTGCTGTTGCCGACCTGCGGACAGCATACGGGCTTCTTCTGCTTCGTCATGCACAGGCTCGTTACACTGCAGCACTTCACGCCCCAACACACGCGACCGCTATCGGGCTGCAAACCAACAGAAAAAGAAGTGCGCAAACCACGGGGCGAACTCGCGATTAGATGGGCATCGACACGGAACGGTTCAGTGCACAACTGACCACCGTAAGGGCAATCAAGACCAAGAAAAAAACAATGTCCAAGCCAAGAAAGCAGAGACTGGGAGGGGAGCCATGAGCGCAAAGAGGAGCAGCAACGGTCAGGATGTGACCATTTGGCGTTTTGGCTGTAAAGATGGCTTACCGATCCGCAGCAGGTGGTGCCGGCGCAGAGCTCGGTGGGGGCGAGGCAGACGCCGTTGCAGCACTGGAAGGGCATGCAGCAGCTGACCTTCTTCGCGGGGTTCAGAATGCTGCCGCACTTGGGGCACAGCGACGCCGACGCTGCGAGGCGGACAGGCGGGCGGGCAGGCGGGCGGGGGGGATAGGAGGTAGAAGGAGACGGGGGGAGAAATTAGGTTGTGGACATAAGGGCGAAGGAGCGTGGTGGATAGCGTGGCACATGGCGGAGGGGAAGGGGTGCGAGCGGAAGGAAGCATATACAAACGGTTGGCGACCGAGACTTTCAGCCGCCATATTTTCCCGATACAAACACACTCGCTTTCCAAGAAAGCGCACAATTACCGCACAACAAATGCTTACAGGAAGCGGAGAAGCTCCAGCTGAGGATGTCGTGCGTGGACTGACCGCCCGCATTCGACGCCGTGATACCGACGTAATACCCTGGCTGCTTCAGCACGTTACACGTGTTCATCGCGTACCGCAGCAGCGGCGCCGCGGGTTTCTTTGCGCCCTTGCCCATCGACACGCTCAGCGACTGCCCGTCGTACTCGATCCACACGCGACGTGGGACCGAGTCGTTCAGCGGCGCGCGAAGCACCTTCCACGCGAGCGACTTGACGCTCCCGCGTGAGTTGATGCCAACGTGGGTCGCGCTCGGGTCCCACGTGTTCTTCGCCATGTCCAGCTCCACCGCCATGCTGCGGGACTTCTTATAACGAACCGCCGGCCCGCCGTACCCGAGGTAGCCGTCCGGCGACCCGAGGTTCCGCAGCTTGGACCAGATAACAAACGCCAAGCCGTCAGCGCTGCCGGACGACTTGAACACGAAGACGGAGCGCCACGAGAGCGGAGTGCACGAGGTCGAGTTTGCGTACTTCTTGTCAAGCAGGAGGAGCGGCGTGCGAAGAATAACGCCGCCGGCGGAGTGCGGTTGGCTGGTGAGGCGGATGGTGCCCGCCGCCTTGTTCTGCTGCGCGCTCCCGAAGAGCGTCACCATGGTGATGTCCTCGAAGTTGGGGAAGAGAACCTTGCCTGACGGGGGACGGGGGACGGGGGATGGGGAACGAAGGGTGGCGCGAGAGGTGTTTATTTGTTAGAGGTAATGTCTGTGCGAGTGGGCGTGTTTGTGAATGTGGGATTTGTGGGGACGGGCGGGTGGTGAGGTTTGCTAGTAGCGAGAGGGTGCAATGGAGGTGAAAGCGTGGCGAAAGGTTTACGAAAGACGGAGAGTCACGCGGAGAAAAAATGATGAAATGGAGGGTAATCAGGTCACGAGTGAGCGTACTCATTTGATCAGCCGTTTGAGGCACAACGACGGTTGGCGCCTGCGCTGAGACAACCGTCAGAGATGCCACGAGAGCTAGGAGCACGCACGCTGCAGCCATCGCTGCTGGCCTGTAAGCCTGAGATCGCTCAAACCTAGGCGCCTGGTAAGCCAGGGCGAGCGTCTGATGAAACTAAGCTTCTCGAGGAACAAAGCAACGGGAGATTAGGCCGAGGTGTGGGCGGAGATTGAACAAAACGCCGATCAGATTTGGGGTGATAGTTATCTGCCTCAACTGCTCTATCTGCAAATCGGGGTAAAATGTGATCAGGTGTGGCGAGTGAGTCGCAGTTTAGTTGGCGCCAAACTCCCCAAGCCGTTGGATTATCATGCCGTACTCCCACAGGCGGTTGGGGGTTGGAGGTGCCGAGCGCAGCCGAGCCGAGTCGAATTTCGCGTGGCGTGGCGAGGCGATTTCATGTTTTTTTCGCGGTGGTCACAATTGCGCTCTCACACAGGCCCCTGAATTTTTTCGTGACCGTAGGTGTTTTCGATTGGTTGGCCACGTTCCGAATCGCGCCAGAGCGATGAGATGAGAGGCGCGGCGCGTAGATTTGAAAGCCAGTTTCCCGCCAGCCGTCAGTGAGTGTGGTTGTGTGCGACGGTGTCACGGTGGTCGGCCACGTCAAGGTTTTTTGAAGAAATGTTCTGGGCAGGGGGCGAGCACCAGGAAACATTTACCGAATTTTTTTTTTAGATGTGGGTGTGTGCTGAGCGGGAAGAGGCTGTTGCGCCATCAATCGTCAACAAGCAGACTGATGGGCAGGAAGTTGCTCATCAAACATCGGCTGTGGCTTGTTGACCGTGGCGAAGAGCAAACTGCTCCTTGTGCGACGATCTGCGAGGTGCAGAATGTCTGACAAGGGGAAACATTGTGCTGCCATCGTGATTAGGACGTTTGCGAACTAAATTACAAAAGGTTTCTCAGCATAAGGGCGTGCATCAAGACGTAGGCACGTAAATAAGCTAATTTGACGTCAGGGTATTAAAGCCGCGGAGCAATTATAGCCAGTGAGGTTCAATTGTTTATAGGTTGAAAGGCTAGGTTTCCCGATGAGGCAGTGCTGAGCTCGCCAAAAGCCGTGCAAAAACTTGAATTAGAATGGTGCACTGCAAACCTCGAAAGTTGTCACTCTGCTCCCCGTGCGTTTGATTCCCCTCGCCTTGTTTCCTTCCCCCGAGCCCATTTCGTTTCCCCCCAAAGGTCCCCACCCCGCCCTCACTTTCCCATTTCCCAAGGGGCAATTTCGATTCCGCATCGGGGCTCAATCATTTCCGCCAAATTTCAAGATGTTTTCTACACCCCGCCCACAAAACTCCCCCTGCCTTTCCCCCCTATCCCGCAACATCCACCTCGGCAGGACCAAAATCAAATTACAGCATGGCGAAATCACCGAATTCCCAACCAATCACGTGCTTCGTTCTTTCCATTCCAACTCGCTAAACTCGCCAACACCCAACTTGGGTTTAGGGTTTTATTCAATCTTACATGGCGGTTTTAAAGCCCGCGTTCCAAATTGCAGGCCGCGGTGCTCAAACGCACTACGTTTGAAAGGGGTTGGGGCGAGGGTTACGTGGGCTGTTTTGCTGGGGAGTTTGGGGACTAGTGGGGAAGGGGGTTGTCAGGTTCAATGCGTGCTGCAATTTGGAACCTCGAAGTGTTCAGGTGTCAGAGCCGTTCATTTTCCAAGATCTAAATCTAACGGTCCGAATTCGTTCGGCGAAGGCAACATCTCGCGACCCAAAAGTAGCAGTGGCTGATTGTGCATATACAGAAAGGGGGAATCTACGAGCACCACTTGATTTATATAATGAAGCGCAAAGAGCGTGCGTTGAAGGATTGAGTAACGTGGGAACAATACAACAGAGGCAACATCAAAATAACAAGGAGCATGGATATAGCTGGCCTAGAGGGGCACACGGTCGTGGCTCGACAGAGCTGCGATGCGTGGTTCGTAAATTGGCGCGAAACGCCTAGATCTAGGCATGAAACAACAAGGCGGGCAAAATGCATGCGGCTCGTCAGGAGGGTATGTCCTTAGCTAAGGCCGCCGACGTCGCGCACATTGCGTAACTGAAGGTAGAATCGTAACACTGGGTGATTCTCGATTTGTGCCAGGGGCACCCAACTGTTTTCCAGGGCTGTCCGGACCCTCCATGATATCAAAAACTCGATGAGGCGAGCCTCTCGAGGGTCCTTCATCCGATGGCAGAGAATTTTCGCAAGTTCGAGTGTAAGTTCGGCGAGCGGTCGGATAGACGATTTGGCCCGATAACGTAGCCGTTTACTGGTGCTGGCAATAAACTGTATGGTCGTAACAGTCGCACATGAAATGATGGGCTTACGCTCCAGGTGGCCGGTAACAGTAGATGGGTTGTAACGGAAGATATGATATAGCCGATGGTAGATGGTCCACAGTAGCGAGGGCGAAGTTTGGGGCGATGGGCAGTCGAAGGTTCTGGGTGTCAAACTGTACTAAGTCTCCAGCCTCGTAAGTTTCTGCTCGTCGGTGTAGATCGGCGTTGCGTTTAGAAAAAAACATTCGCGCGCTCAATGGCTTCGGTTGCTCGCTTCCAGACATTATGTAATATTTTGGCAGACTATTGGGCTCGAAGTACAGGATTTTCGATGTTGGGCGTGATTGGTACTGTAGGGTTCTGTCCGTAATTTAGATAGAATGGTGATTGCCGGGTAGTGGCTGACGGGGCATTATTATACGCGAACTTAATTAGTTGCTTGATCGTCTTATTGGCTCGTTCTGTCTGTCCGCCGGTTTCGGGCTAATAGGCAGAAGAGAATTGCAGCCGCGTGCCAAATTGTTCCCAGAGGTTGCGCTAGAAGTTGCTGGTGAATTTTGTATCGCGATCCGAAATGATGGCGAATGGAATTCGGTGGAGACGAAAGACGGTCGAGATGAAAGACGGATTGTTTCTTCGGCTGAGAAGTAAGCCATCTTCATCAGCTTATCGACGACAACAAATATCGCGTCGTTGCAGCCGTCCTTGGCAAGTAGTTCCGTGGTAAAGTCCGTCGTCACCCACTGCCACGCACGCTCAGGCAGTAGAATTGGCTACAACTGTCCAGCTGGCTTTCGCTTCGATGATTTCATGGTTTGGCAGATTCGGCACAAAACTACATGCCGCTGCACGTTCCCTTGCATTGTAAAGCACGTGTTAGGGTGGCCAGTGTGAGAGTACGACCCCGTTACACCACTTGTCCCTTTTCTTATTTCCTTCCTCGTTCATTTCTCTCATCTCATTTGGTTTCCTATTCTCCCTTTTTCCTTAACCTTTGGTTTATCCTGCTATTGTAATTATATCACCGACCAGGCTTGGGATGTACTGGTGCGCTATCTGGCGTAATCCTGCCGTAATCCCTTAAAGCCAATAGCCTCGCGTGGCTATACGCAGGGTGATTCTATCTTCTAGAAGGGTCTATTCCCTTAGGATAAGATAAACCTGGTTACCTGATGTACTCTGGAAGTATAAAAGCGCCTTGTACTGATCGATAGTGCAACCTTTCCTCGACACATTCGATCCTGTGACACTTGGTAATCAGAGCTTTTCTCACTCGACCGCGCTCAGCTAAGCAGCAGCAGCGGGGATCCTGCCTCGAAAAACCGCCGGGGGCGACCAATTCAACGCCGATTCTGGTAAGCACCAGCTCCGCGATTTTCGAATTACCCCCTCCGTGCGTGTTTTGAACAGGATGGCAACCTTCGACACCGCCGAGGTTACCCAGCAGCTCTTCGCGCGCATCGCAGCCCTTCAGGAGGAAATGCGAGCGGATCGCGAAGCGTGGCGAAATCAGTTCGAGCGAGTAACTCGACTCGCCGGAGCGCAGCACGAGACGACAACGGCGACGACGCAGCAGTTTCTCGAGGCTCCGAAACCGCGCCCACCTGAGCCGTTCGATCCGAGCGATCGAAACTCCGACGCCCGCAGATGGATCGCCGGGATGGAGATCTACTTCGCAGCCGTCGGATGGAGCTCGCCAGTCTGGGACGGTCAACGCGTACGACTCGCGGCGACACTGATGCGAGGGCCGGCACTCGAGTGGATTGGCGGCAACAGTACTTTCATCCACGGTGAAGCCACGTGGCAGCAGTTCCGCACCGACCTGCTGAAACGCTTCGAACCGATAAATTCGAGTTTCCTTGCCCGGGAAAAATTTCATCGGCACCGACAGTTCGGGAGTGTAGCGCAGTACACGCAGCAGATGGAGGAATTTTATAACCGCATTCCCGACCTGACCGAAGGGGAAAAAGTACAATCATACCTCGCCGGGCTGAAGACCGAAGTCAAACGACAAGTCGCTGCGTCAAACTACGCGAGCTACAGTGACGTCGTTTCGGCAGCGGAGCGCTTCGACATGGTCAACGTCGGAACACGACGGACGCACGTCGGCAGTACGTGACAGGGCGACCGCTCGGCTCACCCCACGTTCGCCGACCCGATGGAAGTCGACAGATTCGAGGGGCGGCCACGTCCGAAAAACACCAACTACACGTGTGATTTTTGCGGGGTGCCGGGCCACCGAATCTTCGACTGCAGCAAAATGAAGACCGCACGCGCAGAGTATCGGGCACGCAACAGTGGCGGAAATCTTTCGGCCAATCAGAAGACAAAAAACGGGAGTCGCCAGTGATTGCGGATCTAGCTGGCGAAAATAAAAAGATCCGAAAGCGGCCACGGGATTCCGGGAAAATCAACTTCGACGAAGCTGATTCGACGCCAGAAGGAGGAAATGATGGGGGAAAATCTCCACCCCACGACCAGTCCTCGCCAGGGAAAATCGCCGAGGAAAAATACGACTCCGCGAAAAAAGACTCTGCCGAGACGGGGAAACTCCTTGAAGACCCAAGAAATTATAAGAATTCGTTAAAGTTATCTTATAAAGATGCTTTAATGAAAACTTATGAATTTCGAGGGGCTAGAGCCTTGGAGAAAATACGGGAGGGACTCCAAAAGAAGCAGAAAGCTGTGGAGATCATACCGATACCGGACAACATGGGGAAAAAATTAAGGAGTGTGGAAAGAAGCCGACCTTTCCACGGAGTCAACGTCCTCTCCCGACACCAGCCCACAACGACTACCCGATCCCCAGGGAAGACGTCGGTGGAGCTAAAGCAGCTCAAGAGGAAGCTGGGGGTCTACAAGAAGCTGCACAAACCCCGAACTCCTCCTACGGATGCATCCAGTTCTTCGGCATCAGTGACGCGCACAGTCGTCAAAGAAACTCCGGGCCCTGGAGAAGAGCCGTTCTCCAAGCAGCCTTGGCCAGCTG